GAGTTAAGTGTGACTTGACCCTGAGGAATGTCTCCATTAAGAATAATAGAAACACCCCCTTGAGCTCTACCATCACCAACTGAGTGATGATGGTAACCAACAAAATGTCTAAAAGACAAAGTGTCAGAATTCCTCAAAAATGTTTCCTGTAAACAAATAGCTAAAGGATTGTACTTTTGAATTAGAAGTTGAACTTCATTAAAATTTGGTTTTAAACCACGACAATTCCATTGAATAATGGAATTTACCATTGTCAGGGAAATTTAATTCTTGGCGGCTTACTGAGTGGGTCCACATGGACATCCACTACAGTAATGCCGTCCATCAGATCATCCCCATATTTATTGAAGAGAGTGATAGGGTTGTTTGCACCCTTTTTATCCTTCTCTCGAAATTTTCCTAAATTTTGATGTTTCTTGGAATGGACTGTTTTATCCTTTGCAGATGGAGTACTCTTAAACTGTACCACTGACCCAGTTGAACTGGGATCAGCAGTGTCAGCTTTATAGGAGGAGCCCCCTTGCCATTTGGAATGGGAGTATTGGGAATAATCCCAATAACTCCAGATGGAGGCAAAGGAGATGTACCCTCATCAGGAATGGTAGCAGTGCTTTGAGTCGAGCACTCCCGCGATTGGGAAGAGCTCGAGACCCCTTTATTATGATCTGATGTAATATTTTTAGGCTTTTTAACTTGATTAGGCCAGGTTATGTCTGTCTGAACTGATACGGAGTTTGTAGAGGCTTTAACTACACCCGCAAAAGATTTCCCTTGTGGTGTAACGGGAAAGAGTGTAGTAAGCTCGACTTGCTTCCTAGCATCAAAGTATGATATTTTTCGTTCAGACATAATCTGTTGAATTCGCTTCTCTTTCTGCCAAATGGGACATTCGCGAGAATAAGCAAAGTGCTTACCCTTGCAATTGACACAACAAAATTCCGCCTGACAGGTAGTGCTCTCGTGGCCATCATGACCACATCGAGCGCAGGTGTCTTTACCTCTGCAGACGGTTTTGCTGTGACCAAACCTTTGGCATTTGTAGCAGCGAAGAGGATTTGAAATATACGATTCAACAGGTATGTTTAAATAACCTGCCTTGAGAGTCTTTGGAATATCGGGACGATTGAAAGTAAGGATATAGGTGCTTGTTGGAATCACCTTATCTCCTCGGCGTACACTAATTCTTTTAACATGTGACACGCCTTGAGATGAAAGGTATTCTACCATTTCATCCTCACTGCTGCCTTCAAGATCTCGACATCTAATTACACCTCTACTTGAATTAAGTGACCTATGTGGTGACACTTTGATAGCAATGTCTGCCAAGGACGTTGACTGGAGTAGCATGGTAGCATGCTGCTCCTTGGCACATTCTATCAAAAGTGTTCCATTTTTTAGTTTTTTGATAGTTTTGGGTTCACCGGCTAAGCCGGCAATACCTTTAGCTATCAAAAATGGTGAAACTTTAGATAGGTCGGTAGAGGGACTCTCCATCAAGAGAAACCTCGGCCAAGCCTTTAGAACTTTTTTATTTGTATTAAATAAGTTTGAAACGTCCTCTGAATTAGGACGTTTCTGTTTATTGATTGGGGTGGGTGGGACTGGGGAATCCATGGAATTATTTTTTTAAATTTCACCCCCCGTTGTCCCCCAGGTTACTGCCCTGCCTACCAGGGGGAGGTCTAGCACGGATAACCAGCGCATGGCCTCAGGGCTCAACGAGGGGTATACTCAAGCCAGAAAGTAAAAATACTACTCCAACCTGATTGACCCAAGCCGCCGTTCTGTAGAATGCACTAAGGACACAAAGGTAGGCAATTGCTGAGTGAATAAACAACAGAGCATTGAATTGGAAAAGGGTACATTCTACAGAGCTAAAAACGACCACAGCCGATTGATCAGAGTGGGCCACTCTGACCCCCCGTCTAGGTGAACCATGGGCCAAAGTAATGTGTTGCAGAGAAAGGGCTCGCAAGCCAAGTCCCCACACAATTACCAGGATTCCACTCTCCACCGACACGGGTTGCAACGCACGGCAAACACGTTGCCCTTTTACAGGGATCCTTTTAGTCGCCTTTTACGACACGCAGGACATACGAAGGGTATATTCTTATCACCCCCTACACCCCAGGGGGGTGGAATGGTAAAAATCTGTACATTTGACAAGATGAAACTGTCTGACGAAAGGCCCGTTTCCCCCCCTGACATGAAGTCAACTTCGTCGTGACGTGCCTGTCCTCGAGTTGTACGAAGATCTACTATAAGACCCTCCTCTTCCACCTCTTCTATTATCTTGGTTCCGAAAAGAATTAGATGGTCCAAACTTATAACTATTAGATGACGTCGAAGTCGTTGCCGATGGCGTTGAAGCTGTCATCTGTTGAGAAAATCGTGGCTTCTTGTACGATGGTTGATTCCGTCCGAAAGAAACATGCTTCCTTTTAAGTATCCGCTCGACCTTGATATTCGATTCGAGTGACTTCGCCATAGCCACCTGTGTGTTGTGACTATCTTGTGCCTTTAAGGCCTCCTGAATGTTGTTATGAAACACATATTCTCCCGTAACCGGTTGTCTAAGCAAGGACTCTCTCAAATGGTGTTCTAACTTTGAACCTTCTAAAGCTGCAACCCGTCTTTCCTTGATAATATTACCAACTAGGAATGTATTAATGTTGGCAATAGTATTCAACGCCGATGCCGCTGAAGCGATAGCCGAAGTAACACAAATGTCATCTCCGTTCTTCGAATGACAAAACTTCTCTAATAAAGCCTCTAAATGTGTTCCTAAATGAGACGAAGCCATCATGGATTGTTTAACACATGCCTAACAACAAGACAGTATTCCATCCTCGATCTTAGCCCCAGGAATAGATCTCCTAGAAGTCAGACACTCCATGTTAGAATCTACTTTCAATGCGTCGATAGAAAAATCCAGACCATGTATTGGGTATAAACTCTCCTTAATAACTGGTTTATTGAACAACCTTCCCTTCCAATTCAATTTCTTGAACGCAGAGTTAAGGAATGAAGACACTTGTTTTACAGTTCCATCAGGGGGTAAGGAACGACCAACAGTAACTGCTGGTGTTGATTTTCTTGATACATTTGACTCCACTGGACGATCTGGTCGCAAAGGCTGTGGCGAAAGATCAGGTAAAGTACTGTAAATCCAATCAATTGTATCTCTCGGTGACAAAATACCTGGTTCAGAATCGGACGCTTCAGAGTTGGCTGACGAGTGATCTAATTCGCCACTCTCATGCGCTGGCTCATAAACTGGTGCCTCCACATCGTGTGTGGTAGCGTTCGTTGATGATGGAATACGAGTCGTACCTGTCGACGATGAGGAATCTCCGGTAACTTGACCGGTGTTAATCAATAAATTCTTCAAGACATCCAAAATTGTGAAGCGCCGAATGTCTGTGTAACACCGGGCGCCTGTGAAGCGCCGACTGTCTGTGAAGTGCTGGACGTCTGAAAAGCGCTGGGCGCATGTAAAGCGCTGGTCATCTGTGAAGCGGCGATCGCCTGTGAAGCGCTGGTCGTCTGTGAAGCGCCGATCTTCTTTGGAGCGCCGACCTTCTGTGGTGCGCTAGTCTGCTTGGATGCGTTGGTTTTCTTAAATGACTTCGGTTTCAGACATGCGCTGGGCAACGCCGAAACTCCCGGCTTCCTAGATGCGCCGTCCTTCTGAGAACTTGATATCTCAGATACGCCTCTACCACGCTCTTGTGGCGACTCCATCCTGTCGAAATCACCGACCTGCCTCTCTGCATCACTAAACATGCCGGCACCAGGAGACTGGCTCTCCTCGGGAACGGTGACATAACTTCTAACAAGCCTGTCCTGTTGAGTGGCTCTCTTACGAATAACATCTAAATACACCTTGAAGGCTTTCTCATCTAAAGGTAAACACCAATCACATCTTCGTAGTAGCGAACAAGTTTCACCCTCAACACAATCGGGACAAATAGGATGCGGAAAATTGGCCGATTTAGAGACATTGCATCTCGTACACATAGATCGTCTTATTTCCCCAGCCGAGTAAGCAATGGGGATATCAGCAGAAGACATAATAAAGTCAAATAAAGGTAAACAATTATCAAACCAAGTAACTCAGAGAGCTACAAAAACAAAAAAACACGTGCACTCGTCATGCACGGAAAACGGAAGAGAAAGTTTAAGACAGTAGTGACACGTGATGTGGTCAGTGGTGATAGTGAGGTGGGTCAGAGGTCATGGCGGTGTTTCAGTTTTACTTTGATGTCTTCCGACGATTACCGAGAAGGAAAAACGGAATATGCAAATAGTTATGTCAGGATAAGTAGTAAATTAATTAAAGACACGACATATTCCAATCCACCTTCTCTTTGTAGGTTTGGAGCAATTGAAATGTGGTCGTATATTGTCGTCGCCCCCGTCCGTCGGTCCGGCGTCCACAATTGCTTGTGGACGCTCTAGAGGCTAAAGTTAATATCCGATTGACTGTAAATTAATATACAGTGTTTAAGGTCATGAAACGAAGAAGCCTATTGATTTTCAGCGATTTCCGATAATTACTACCAGAGTTATGGCCCTTGATCACTTGTGGACGCTCTAGAGGCTCAAGTTAATATCCGATTGACTTTAAATTTAAACACAGTGTTTAAGGTCATGAAGCAAAGAAGCCTATTGATTTTCAGCGATTTCCGATAATTACTGCCAGAGTTATGGCCCTTGATCACTTCAAAAAATCTTGTGGACGCTCTAAAGGCCAAAGTTAATATCCGATTGACTTTAAATTTATACACAGTGTTTAAGGTCATGAGACGAAGATTTTCAGCGATAATTACTGTCACAGTTATGGCCCTTGATCACTTTGAAAAATCTTGTGACGCTCTAGAGTCTAAAGTTATCATCCGATTGACTTCAGATTGATACACAGAGTTTAAGAGCTTGAGACGAACAAGTATATCGATTTTCAATGAATTTTTATGACTTGAACAGCTAAATCCATGATATTAAAAACCAAACAAATTCTAATGGTTTTCTGATAATTACTTCATGAGTGTATTATAAATGTTTCATTACCGAAAGAAGTAAAAATATGCGACAACACTTGTTGACTGCCCGGACGATTTAGCTGCTGTGGCCGTATGTTTCGTTGCCTGGCAACCTATCTTTTTTTATATGTGGTGGTATCCTCTTCGATAAGTATCAATCGTGCTGTCACATAGTTTAGGTAAGCTAATAACCTATGGGGAAACAAAAAAGAAAAAAATACATATCAGTTAAATGAAGTAATATTAATATTACAGGCCGTGTCAACCATCGCATTTGGTGTCTTGTAAACATATTTCTAAACTATAGGTATACGGTGAAAAGTCTGTGTTGTAAATAAATGTTAGCGAACAGGCGACTTACCCTCCATAGAGGCTCCTTGATGGAGTACACAGCGTAGCAGACGATAAGAGTATGGCACGCGCGACAAGTCCCCGCTTGTGAATGGTTGACAAAACTTCAACTTAAAATAAAAAAAAATAAAAACTCACATCTCTTTTTCTTGTTGTCGTGTAGGCTGTTTATGTGGTATAAAAGGGTCCCTGGTGAACAGCTCATCTGCGTCCCCCAAAATGTCCAGTAATTCAACCACAAGGGCTGGTGCAGGCGATTTTATATAGGGAGACATCGCTCCAAAAACTAGTCCGATCATTGCTTGTAACAGTTGTCGAAGGTTGTGTATGCTATACCTTGAACAATAGAAAATACATACTATAATTTAGCTTAAAACTTTAAATTATACATACATCTACCACTAACCGAGATCTCCCTTCCCCCCTCCACCCACCCAGACACTCCTAACATAACCCCCACCCACCATACACCCCCCCCCCTCCACCATACACAGTTACTAAAAAGATAGGTTGTCAGGCAACGAAACATACGCCCACAGCAGCTAAATCGTCCGGGCAGTCAACAAGAGTTGTCGCATATTTTTACTTTTTTCGGTAATGAAACATTTATAATACACTAAAATCTGATTAAGAGCAACAAATCAGAAAACCATTAGAATTTGTATACAAAACTTTTAATACTGTATCATGGATTTAGCTGTTCCTAGTCATAAAAATTCATTGAAAATCAATATACTTGTTCGTCTCAAGATTTTAAACTCTGTGTATCAATCTGAAGTCAATCGGATATTAACTTTGGCCTCTAGAGCGTCCACAAGATTTTTCAAAGTGATCATGGGCCATAACTTTGGCAGTAATTATCAGAAATCTTTGAAAATCAATAGGATTCTTCGCCTCGTGACCTCAAACACTGTGTATAAATTTAAAGTCAATCAGATATTAACTTTAGCCTTTAGAGCATCCACAAGGTTTTTTGAAGTGATGAAGGGCTATAACTCTGGCAGTAATTATCGAAAATCACTGAAAATGAATAGGCTTCTTCGTCTCATGACCTTAAACACTGTGTATAAATTTAAAGTCAATCAGATATTAACTTTAGACTCTAGAGCGTCCACAATATTTTTCAAAGTGATCAAGGGCCATAACTCTGGCAGTAATTATCAGAAATCGCTGACAATCAAGAGGCTTCTTCGTCTCATGACCTTAAACACTGTGTATAAATTTAAAGTCAATCGGATATTAACTTTGGCTTCTAGAGCGTCCACAAGATTTTTTGAAGTGATCAAGGGCCATAACTCTGGCAATAATCATCGGAAATCGCTGAAAATCGATAGGCTTCTTCGTCTCATGACTTTAAACACTGTGTATAAATTTAAAGTCAATCGGATATTAACTTTGGCCTCTAGAGCGTCCACAAGATCTTTTGAAGTGATCAAGGGCCATAACTCGGGCAGTAATTATCGGAAATCGCTGAAAATCAATAGGCTTCTTCGTCTCATGGCCTTAAACACTGTATATAAATTTAAAGTCAATCGGATATTCACTTTAGCCTCTAGAGCGTCCACAAGCAATTGTGGACAGACGGGGGCGACGACAATATACGACCACATTTCAATGTGGGCGTTTAAAAATAGTGATAATAATTTAAGATTTTTTTTTCCAAAATAGGTATTGAATCATAAAAAAATAATATATGACAAGAAAAAAAAGCAAAATAAAACTTACATTTTTGAGTTTTTGTTTTTTTGAAAGTATTTAATAGAACTGGAAAACTGGAGTACACCTTGCTTCTTCGTAATACAATATACATATTGTTATATTGTTAGGGCTATTGGGGCTCATATTATTCTTGTATAACAAACAGATCTTCTCAGTCAAGACATTTTATTCAAACCTCGTGCAACTGTTGTAGGGGGTCAAATATGAAGTAAATAACCACACCAAGGGTTCAGTAAAACAGCAATTTATTACCTTATAATAAAAACCCTGAAATTATACAATTACAGTATAAATAACATAATCCAACATATAAAATCAATTCATTCATATTCATTAAAATAATATATTACATATTAACACTAAAATCTCTATTCTAACTACTACTTTTATATATACTTAGTCTATATAAATACTTTAAAGGGAAACTACCTCCTGTTAACCCGTATGAAATATACAGGCATAATCTAAATAATCTTACTAATAATAATAATGTTCTTACCCATGAAGGGGTTTTTAATAAAGTAACCAGAGTCTGGAACAAGGTGAAGTACCTTATAGCTCTGTCTGTAATAAAATATGGGGTATTTGATATTAATTATATTATTAAAGCGAAATGCTTTAAATAGCGTTACTATTATTACTATTATAAACTGTATGCCTTGTATTTGCAGAATGTAATTAACAAAAACCAGATTAACTTTAACTTATTTGACAATTTTACTTAAAACCAACATGTCCGCCAACTTTAACAAAGACAAATAAAATATATATAAACTTATAAAACTGATAAAACAAATAGCCACACATACCTTTAAACTGTAAACAATAAATCTGTAGATAATAATTCTTCCAATACCAAATACACACAATTGATACGAATAAATGAAACTATTATTATAACTATTGAAACTTTAAATATAAAATCACTACCAAGGTTGAATGAAATATTCAACCTCACACTACAAGATTCTATAAGTAAGTGACCAAGGAGATAGGAAATACAAATCCAAGAAACCTTTGGGTCAAAGGTGAAAATTGAATCCCAGTGACCAGATGATGAACTCGAACTCACTGGTTAGAAGAGTGTACAGAGCAGGATAGTTTAAAGATGCATTGATGTGTGACATATTACTTAAAATTACATTAGTATTGTGATCATATTAAAATACCCATAAACTAAATAAAATCACTCTACCACACAACTACCAATAACAGGTCGTGATACCATCAATAGCTTCGGTTATCACACATACATTACTAACACTACATTTACGACATACCCTGATACGTAGGACCCTTGACGTTTTCATTTTTTTTTTTAAAAGATGACCATCGTAAATAATTAAGTCATCTGGTTTTATCAATTTTTTTTTTGCCCGCGTTGAAAGTTACAAAAGATGGCCAGCGTAAATAAAAAAGTCATCTGGTTTTATTCAATTTTTTTTTTGCCCTCGTTGAAAGTGTCAAAAGGTGTCCAGCCTAGACAATTAAGGCATCTGTTTTTATTCATTTTTTTTTTATAGCGGTGAAAATGACAAAAGGTTAGTAGCGTAAATAATTAAGACATCTAGGCCCTGTTTCACGAAATTTTAACTAAAGATAAAATCCAAATTTTAGTAGATACTTCAATTTTGATTGGCTAAGCACTAAAATCAATCTAATATTATCCCATCAAATTACTAAAATTTGGATTTTATCTTGGTTAAAATTTCGTGAAACAGGCCCCTGGGTTTTTTTTACCGCGGTGAAAATGACAAACCTGATCAGACCAAATAATTAAGATACCTAGTTTATTCGTGTTTTATTTTTAAAAAAATAGGTAACTTAATAAATAGGCAATGCCAAATGAGTTTATGACAATACAAAATTAGACTTAGAGAGTTGTTTTTAATTCTTTTTTCAATAATATATTTATTCTTAACGTTAGCCTTTGACTTCATATCCAGTAAAAATCAAATGTGTTTTCGAACAGCATTCGTTGTTTAGAAAATAAAATCAAAACGACGAACAGTTGGGTTAATGATAAAATAGTTTATCATTTTGAAAATTCATTTAATTATGTTTCGTAGTGTGTGTTTTTTTAAAAGAAAGAAAATAGGTTTTTAGTCATCACCAGCTGTTATTTGGTAGGTTAAAAATAATAACTATTTCACTATAACCCACAACCATATAGTGATAAACCCCCACTAAAAGTTTAATAACACTCTCGACTATACTGTATTAAAAATCATCGAAGCGAATCCTATACGTTGAAAAGGTGACCTCAATAGATGACTAGGGTTATTGAAACCACGATGTGTTTTTATCATACCCCTACAGCTATAAAAAATTAGGTACACAATGACCCCACACATGACCACCCTGACGGGGTTCGGTTGAGAAATTCAAAATCAACACGCGAACCATTAACTAGGTATTTTAAAATCCTTGAGCGATATGCGAATACATGATACACCAAGGGAGAGGTCTCCTATTTTATTTTTTTAGGATCAAAGATATCGTTACTGTACATAACAACAAAAAAAAAACCCAAGGTAATACTTAACAATGTTACTGTTTTAACAAAATAAACCTTTTTAATTCAGGTTGTTCTAAGGGGTTGACATATTGTCTATATTACACCCTACAAACACTCAACTTACCATTTTTCGAATTCCAATCAAGATCAAGAGATTGTTTAGCCACATTCCACGTTATTAAAAAAATTACAGATGAATTCATTTGCTTGTTTTGTAATAATACATATATCTATTCTCTTTAACAGAATGGATCCGTTTGAAAGCTACACAACGGAGCAATGGGGTGAAATATTAGAGCTCACGGATGAATTTGAAGTATGGAGTCTCAGCCAGACGCAGGCGGCATGTCAAAACCTAGGCGATGACGAAGAATGAACCCGCATTATTTTCAGACAATGATAGTGACTTTGACCCGTCACAGGTAAGCGAAATGTTTACAGTTTTGCACGGTAATCAAATGAATGTAGTCAATTCACCTACTAAAAACGAAACAATTGAACCATTAATCATCCCTTCTAATTACCAATCATTAGTGGTGAAGAAGATGACGAAGCAATCGATATTTTTGATTTGTTAACCCCTCCGGGCTTGTTTTTTTAAAATAAAATCACATCCTTTTCTTTTTTTAAGATCGGTCAGGAAGGCGGTGGTATTAAAAAAATTAGTAAAGCTTATTTCAGTGGAGCAACGTTTTTCGACGAAATTTAACATACGACTGGAAATTATAAACCCAGATGAGCCAAATCCCCCGGACTGGTTAGAGTCTATTCACCCAGATATTAGAGACAGAGAAAATTTTAATATTCACCCAAATGAGAGAGTCAGAATACAATTAAATCACCCCGATTTGGATAATCCGATATATATCGCATTCAGACCTTACGAAGAACTAACTTTGGAATTAATTTTGGATGAAATTGTGAAAGTTATGCAATCTAAAAAAAACCCTAGTTAATGACGGTCAAACAACTATAGCTGTGACAAATGTTCCTTCTAAAGAAGGTGGTATGTTTCCAAATAAGATACTTTTGAACGAGGCTTTTATGAATTAAAAAAATCAGACATTTATATCACCCTTACTCAACAACGGTTATCAAGCGTGTTTTGGACAGTCTATCGTCCTAGGCATAAGGGGATCACGTGGCTAAGTGGGTAAGTCGCTAGCCTGGAGGTTGGGTGTTCGATCCCTGCATTGGCCGAGAAAGTTCATCCAGATTTTCCGGCGTGGTTCTCCCTTGTCAGTGATGAAGGACAGAGGGGTTGACAAGGAAAGCTGCCTAGTCGTTCGGATGGGACGAAAAACCGAGGTCCCGTGTACACATTGGCGTGCACGTAAAAGATCCCTTGGCAGTTGGAATTCGATATAAGAGTAGGCCGTAGTGCCGCTGTCCGGGCAAAATTTCCCTCATAGCACACTGTATGGCGTATGTCCGTCTTCATTAGACCAGGTTAGGAGCAGAACAGTAGGACGTTAAACTCCATTTCATTTCATTTCAGTCCTAGGCATAAACAAAATTTCTTATCGTAAGAAAATTTCACCGTCAGCCGAAGAAACTAAACATTACAAACGTGTATCTAGCAAACGACTCAATTTCGACATTGTTTACATTGAATAGCTTCTGGGCAATACAGATATATTATTTCAACAATGCCGAAAGTAAATTGTTGTTTACGCATTGTGTCTCCTTAACAAAGAGAACCCAAACACTGAGCCAATATCTATGGAGGGGGATCCTCGCCAAAACTCTCAATTTGTGAAAATACATTTGTCGATTTGTGAAAGTACATTTGTTAATTTGTCAAAATACAAAAAACATTTGTCGATTTGTCAAAGTACATTTGTTAATTTGTCAAAATGCAAAATACATTTGTCGATTTGTGAAAATGCATTTGTTGATTTGTCATACAACAAAAATACATTTTTTCATGTGTGAAAATACCTGTCTAACCTACAAAGCACAAATTTTGAAATAACACAGCTTAACTTTACAGTTTCAAGATATGTAATTTCAACATTTGTATTTTCAAGATATGTAATTTCAACATTTGTAGTTTCAACATTTGCAGTTTCAACAGTTGTATTAACGACACTTGCATTATCGAGCCTTGCATTAACAAGCCATGCGTTAGCGAACTATGACCATATTTGGGTTGATGACGTTGATCATTAATCCGGAAAACGCCGAGTTTGGTCCTGCAATGATGTCTCCCGTCTCAATAAAAATATCTCTTCTTGGGTGGAGTTTTTCAAGGGGAACTACTCTCATTATTTCCGTTCTTCAACATGGCCAATGAACTTATTCATGAAGTGAAGTCCCGAATAGAGGGAATTTGCAATTTGTTAGATACACAAAATTTTCAATCGCTTTCAGACATCATACATGATATACATACAGTAGCAGGTATTGTCTCAGATTTAATGTGTTCCATGCCTTCCACGGAAGAAGACAGTATAACGATGAATGGATTACAAACTTGTTTATTTCATATTCAAAATGCTGCAAATTTAATCGAACGAAAGCAGGCCAATGAAGTTATAACTGGATCTCTCGGACATTCATTGTCACCAGGACATACTGGACGACCATCAAAGTTAGTTCCATTTGAACAGCTAGAATTTTTGGTTTCTAATGGATTCAAATTGAATGACATGGCCAATTTATTTAATATTAGTCCCAGAACCATGAGTCGAAGATTGCTTGAATATGGTATTTCATTAAATGAAAAATATAGTCATATTTCCAATGATGAGCTAGATGAAATAGTAATTGACCTTCTTAGTAACTTTCCAAATATTGGGTATCGAAGTATAAAAGGACACCTGCACAGTAAAGGACATATAATTCAAGAATACAGGGTTCGTGAATCGATGAGAAGGATTGATATAGAAGGTGTTCTCTATCGTCGACTTACTTTAAATCCAGTAAGACGAAGAAGATATTCTGTTCGTGCGCCAAACTCATTGTGGCATATAGACGGCTATCATAAATTGATAAGGTTAGTATTGACTCAATTACAGGCAGGGGCGGACTAAGCTTATTTATCAGCCCAAAGAGGGACTAGCAGTGCATGGCGTTGTATGCCGTGAATATTTGAAAATTCAATTGCTGGATGGGGGCCTGGTGTGGCCGAGTGGCTAGGACGCTTGCCGTTCATGGTGGGGGTCCCAGGTTCGAATTCTGGCGGAGATCGGGTCGACCTTGTGGATTTTCTCGACTGGGTTCCCCCTTGTCAGGTGGGGAATGACATGGAAAAGCGTTCTAGTCCATTGGATAGGATGAAAAACGGAGGCCTGTGTTCACTAAGCTACGAGAGGGCATGTTAAAGTCACCTCGGCAGTTAAAATCGGTAGTGAGAATAGGGTGTTGCCGCTGCCTTAGCAAAATTTACCCTCATTGCACACGCTTGGCAAATGCCCGTCTCTAGTTAGCCTATAAATTAGTGCAGAAAAATGGGACGTTAATCTCCATTTCATTTCATTTCAATTGCTGAATGTGCAATCTTCGCTTTAAAACTGACTATTAACATGCATAAATTTTTGAAAGGCCCTTTGGGTCGGGACCCAACTGGTTTTGGCCAGGTGTGTCCCCCTCCATACCTGCTTACAGGTGATATACCGTTTTGTAATGTAAGCTTATAGAATTGATTTAAGAGTCTTCGTACTGTAGTAATCATTGTTGATTTCTGACTCCTGTTAAGTGAGTTCGCTTACTCAAGATAATTAATCCAAAATCCATATTTGGATTTTTAACACCCATTCGAAACCAGCTATTCAATATCATTAATGTCAGACTGGTTTATGATATATAGGCTTACTGTATTTGTATGACTAGTATAATATTTTATATGGGTTGCATTTTTCGAAACACGATGGAATGGCGGTTTGTCAATTACCGGTATATTATATATTGTATCTTTAACATTAACTCATCGCAGTTCAGTTTGATTAGTGGTAGCTGAGTAATGATCATTTGTATATTTTTTCCATATCTTTTAAGCTGGCACTTAGTTGTTCATGGAGGTATAGACGGTTATTCTCGCCTCCCTACATATTTAAAGATTAGCAACAACAATAGAGCAGAAACTGTTATGCAAGCATTTAATGAAGCTGTTCAAAATTATGGATTGCCATGGAGAGTTAGATCGGATAAAGGGGGCGAGAACGTTCGTGTTGCAGAATATATGATAAATTCCAGAGGTTTTGGAAGAGGCAGCCATATTACTGGAAGAAGTGTCCATAATCAGAGGTAAATTTAGTACGTCTGCATTAATATGTTCGATTTTATGTTATACATCTGTCTGTTCGCATTATCCTTTGAATAATAATTTTCAAGTTATGGTCCTTGATCCCATAAAAATATGCCAAGTTTAAATGGTTTAAAATCTTGATAGTTAGTCAGTGTGAAGCATCATACAGAATGCCCGTATTATTGTTTGGAACATGTTTCAGACTTCTTCCACTTGACTACAGTATTAAGAGGTTTCAACTATTATAAACGATAATCAGCAGTCTTCGTGCCATTCGAGGGTTTTCATTAATATTAAAGATATGTGCAGTTTTGCGTTAACCAATGGATATGTAACATTTATCACCTAATTAGAATTTTAAACTTGTGATCGTATATTAGCGTTCAGAAAACGAATGTCATGTTCAATATTTGATACGATTCAATAACAATCACCAGAGTTACTGCCCTTTGTTTGTAATCTAGATTCCAGAGTTTTAATGTGTCTTTGTCGTCATCAAATGTAGGTAAAGTAGTTTGTTCAAAAATCAAATTATGTACCATTGTCTAGACTTTGCTAAAAACATTCATTCTGTGACTTTGTGTGGTTTCATGAAAGGAATGTTGACAATTTGTTGCTCTGGTGTCATTTTCAACAACCTGTTCATATTTTAACAGTGAAATAGATCATCACACTTAATTTTTTTTTTATTTCAAAGAATAGAGAGATTTTGGAGAGATTTGTGGATGGGATGCATCAGTTTTTTCTACTACCTTTTTTGCTACATGGAAGCAGAAAACATATTTATACCAACTGATGAAATACATATTCAAGCCCTACACTATATCTTCATACCAAGGATTCAAAAACACTTGAACGAATTTAGAGAGGCCTTTATCAGTCTATCTATTAGGACAGCTAATCAGAAAACGCCGTTACAGTTATGGATAGATGGTCAAATCCTGGATCCAAATGAAAATCTTGCTTCTGAGGTATATTTTCATTGATATGTTTATTCAAGAAATCCAGATTAATATAATCTTTCATTTTTTGACAGTGGTTAAGATTATGCCTAAAAATATTCAAAAATTGGAGGGTGAGATTTTGGGATATTTTAATTTCCATAGCAAACAAATGATTTAATCTGTTAATGATAAGATAGAAGTCTCCAACCTTATACACCCCAACAACTGTTATTATATCCCAGAAAGTTTCAAAACTTTTCGTTGAGAACTGTGATCTCTATCGTGTAAAGAAGAAGTTTTTATGGGCATGCACAATAACTAGTAAAATGAAACTTTCAACCTTTTCAAAGATAAGATACAACTTTTAAACTAGCATATTCATAATCAGTGACCTCAATAATATATAATTAATTGCTTGCTTCGTCAGAATCAGATGATTTTGTGACTTGACCTAATTTTCGCCATTTTTATAAACAATTACAGCAACTCTGGTCTCTATCACGTTTACAAGGTTTCGTGAATCAAGGTCAATAACTCTGGAAAACATTGAATTTCGATAGGCTTCTTCCTTATGCTGGTATAAACAACTACAGCAAGTTTCGTTAAAATTCTTGTTTACAATATGAAATAAACTTATATCTTAAATAAACCTATAAATTCAATCCCAAACAGACGTTCATTAGATTTTAAATATTTTTTTATAGGCAGACTTTCAAAGTTACGGAACAATACAAAATGGTTTGATGGCATATGATGATGAACCAGAAAGAGTTGTTATTGGTCATTTTCCTATATCTTTAACTGATCAAAAGATCGAAGAATTGATGTGCCAAATAAATCCTTTATTCGATTCAGAAAATCAGGGAATGGACTTGTTTCTTGCAACCGTAAATTTCATTTCTAATTATCATGAAATGAATTAGGAAATCAACACTGCTTTTTTTCAATTAATAGGTTTTTATTGGGTATTTCACCAACAGAGGCCCAGTTCATGCTACATACATTTTCAATTCAAACCAAAACCACATACAATTATGTTAATAAAAGCATTTTCTAGGAAATCGTATTCTTTCATATATTTCGTTTGGTTAATAGTAATAGATGGCGCACATGTATTTACTGTAGTGCAGTTTAAATTTGCATGGTCAAATAGTAGTAGCCCATCTCCTATATTTGGAGATATGGCAGGGCTACCAGTTGTTGCCAGAAGAAAATGTCCAGTATTCAGTTGAACATCATCTTCGAGATCTGTTTCCATATCCAACCACTGGGTACTGATTTTTCCACCTAAAAATATATACAAACTTGTTAAATAATTTGAAACAAAAGACCATCAAGAAAGTTAACATACGCCATACAGCAGTTTAACTTCAAGGCAGCTACTAGTCTTCTATGAAGGGCTGCCGCCTGCCGGCATTCATTATATTTTAGAATGTATCAGTAAAATATTCATAACTAATTTCCTAATACATGCATAAACTTTAGTTTGAGCTATTTTCCGATATGCACAGGTAATGGATCTCAGCGACAGGTGCATGAACATTTCGACCCTTGACGGAGGGGGATCCTCGCCAAAACTCTTAGGCCCGTATTCTCGAAATTGGATTAGTGCTAATCATAGATTTAATCTCTGACTTTTCGACCAGCCATATTCTGAAAGGCTGATTAAATTTTAAGCTAAGATTTTTATAAACTTTGATTAGCCTAATCAATGAGTTAATCATTGTTCGAGAATACCATAAAATGTGGTATTCTCGAACGTTGACTTGTACTTAATCATTGACTAAATCACCCCAATGTTTAGTCATCTCAGGGGGGTAGTTTAAGGAAAGATTAAGTACATGCATATGCAATTACAATGTATTGAATATTATAGAAATTATTATTTTTCATTGAATTCAGACTCATTGCACTTATATTTCGCCTCAAAAGTAACAAATTTACATTCATCGTAAATTCTGTTGAAAAAGTTTTTTTTATATATATATTAAACATTCTCTATTATATAAAATATAATTATGTGCACTTTAGTCAAAATACAAATAATTTTTAGAAGTGTCAAAGAACCTTTAAGGAATTGCAAAGAGCGGAACAAATCAACCTATTGGCACAAAAGGGAACCCACAGCAGCTAAATCGTCCGGGCAGTCGACAAGGATTGTCACATTTAATTATCAGAAATCAATAGAATTTGTTTGGCTTCTAGTTCTGCCCTCAGCGAACATTTACTATACAAAATGTAATAGGCATCCTCCTCTCAGTTAGTTACCCTCATTGCACACGCTTGGCAAATGTCCGTCTCTAGTTAACCTAAACAGTGCATAAAAATGGGACGTTAAACTCTATTTCATTTCATTTGGTATTAGTGTTGAAAGTAGAGGTCATGTTCTAAGTGAGTTAGAATTGATTTATAAATTTTTTCAGTTTAGAAATCAATTCGAACTCATACATAAAGTCCTTTCAAAACTTAAAGCATACATTATTTCCTTCTAATGTTATTAAGTGTGGAACTCAATGATGAGTCTAAAAAAAGCTAAAGATCTCCTCTATCATCTGATAATATACAGTTGTGCATCCACCGAAATATGACAAGAAATTAAGGAGAAGAGATGGTGTAAGGTTGTACAGAATCCCAGACTATATAATTCTGGTTATTAAACTCTTTAAAAGTAATAACTTATACTTACGTTCAAGTTTCTTCAAAAACTGATGAAAATTGTACACAATTATCTCTTCTAACTCCTTGTCTTCTGGTTTAATTGAGAAACTAGGATGAAACAAATTAATTACATCCAAAGCCTTAACATCTGTCCGGCTAAAGTATTCGGTGGCTTCTGCTGAATACTGCATTAATAATTTATAAACACCATGAAGTTTGAGACCTAAAAAATATAAGATCTATGTGTATCTGTACAAATTAATTTATATCATTTCTATTATCACAGCCTTGAAATTTAATGCTGAGGGGTAAAAGTTGCATATATTGGATATATGCCATTTCAGTCTGTATAATTTCAAAATGTTTTTGTTGGGTTTGTTTTAAATTTTTGTTCATGTTTAAAAAAAAAAAGCACCATAAAAACACAATTACATTTCACAGCTCCACAAAGAGAACAATTAAGATAAGTCAGCAAATACTTTCATAGACTAACTTGGCGGTCCGTCAATTGGCCTCGCGACAATTGGCTCCCGACTATTTGAGCGGGTCAAATTGTCGCGAGGCCAATTTGTCGGGCCCAATTGACACAGACTTACCTTCTATGAACTGCAGTAATGGTGGCAAAAAACGATAAAATCCATAATGGCATCGAATCGCTAACATGGCTTCTTTTTTGTTTTCTAATGTCAACATCTTTTTATATCCTGCAGATTCCAATATATCAGCATTTTTCTCAAAAACCTCTGATACATTTAGAGCTTCTAAAGAATCAATCTACAATAGCAAAGATTAACAAGTGATAGCTTTGACAATAAATTTATATTTAAACAGGAGAGTAAGAACTACTTTTAATAAATCAAACAAAAGTTGAACATGCCATAGATTGAATGTACGCGAAGTCAATTATCTGACTTTTGGACAAACAATGGCCAATAACTTGTGTTCGCAAACATTTTTTACTACACAGGTAACAACTGTAGCCCTTATCGTGTTCACAGGCCACAATTTAATATGGACTATAAAATGAAAATTGTTTCATTTGAGCTGCAATTACCAACCTACCTCTTTAAGAGCTTGGAGAACATCTCCAGTTAACATTTCATCTGAAATTTCACCAACTGCAGGTTGTGCATTCTGAAGGATGAATTTAGTAAACTGTGGTAGAAGGCATCTTGGTCCTTGATTTCCCATTAAGATAGAAAAGGCAACAACTTTGCCTATAGTCTTGTATGTTTTATTCTGTAGTAGTGTTGAATTGATGGCAAAACCACTATTTTCAAAAATGGGAGTATGTTTAAAGATAAGAGAGAAAAACTCTCTTGTTAAGCCGCCTGCATCCACCCCATCTTCCCCTATGAATATTACATTTAACAGTTGATCAAATTCAAAATCTTCCAGATTTTCCATGGCTGTTTGCAAAAACATTTTTCTAACTACTGAGACATGGAATCTCTCCTTTACATTTTGACCAAAAATTTTCTCGGACAGTTGATGCAAATCATATTTTAAATTACCAGTCCTGAAAACAAAACCAACACATTTATCAATCGATTATTGCTCAGATACATTTAAACAGTATACAACATAATAATAGCAATATAGGTCTACATATAGTGATGTGGACATATAACATATAGCATGACATTCACCCAAAATGGCAGCGTTGTTTCATCAAGATCTAAATTGTGATGGAAAATGTTGATAACTGCACATTTTGCTAAGCTTCTTTGAAAACAGATAAACAATTCCAAGAGAAATTAAATTATATCGTAAGTATTAAAAACAAGCGATTGCCATGCGATATACGCCCACGGTAGCTTTGACAATAAATTTATATCTACACAGTCCAAATGAATGAAATGAAATGGAGTTTAACGTCCCATTTTTCTGCACTAACTAGGCTAACTATAGACGGGTTGTACACAGTCGAGTAACTGACTACGTTTATCGAATCATCATAAAATTCAAATCGTCCTAGTTTCATTCAGATCGGCCAAAAACTCTGGCTCCAAAGAGCACACAAAATCTAAAATACAATTTTCAGGCGAAATAAGGGCAATAACTGTAATGATTTTTATCGCAGCGCACCCAAATTCGCACTTGACCTTCAAGTTACAATTTAACCAAGATCTTACGAATATGAACCTCAATACCAAATTTGAACGAAATTGATTTAAAAGTATGAAATTGTGGATGGGCCGACGGATGGAAGAGACAACGACATTATACTACCATATTAACCTTTGGTGTATAAAAAATATGACATAAAAATGAAGGTATAATATAATATATTTAGAGATACCATTAAATATGTGATCCGCATGAATAGTTTTTCGAAAGTGAAAATGCAAACATGTTTCTATAAACACACAAAGTATAAAAGATATTATATTATAGGAATAAAAAAATTGTTTACTGTGTCCTTCCTTCGTCTGTTTTCTTGTCATCTTCGCCGCAAGATGCAGCATGTATTTCAACTAAATCCTCATCAAATTCTAGACCGCAAATTGGGCAAGATTTCAGGCTGTAAATTAAACAAAAGTAGAGGCTGATAGAGATGGGCCAAATAGTATATCGGATATACTGTATAAACTGTGTGGTGTCAGTATTGTGTCAATACATGCACATCAATGCCTACTATTGTGCAAAAAACAATACCGTACCGATATCGAATTTGAAATTTCAATACCTCCTATAACTTAACGGGGCCATCCCACATGAAGACAATATGCAACCAAACACTGTTTGTGCGTATAAAAATATGCATATATTTTTGTTAACTCTAATAATTTTCTTTTTAAATTGGGAACTGGAGAGGCCACAGATAAAGTGTAAATGAAACAAGACTATCTGTCTCTTATGGAAAATGTTAAATTCATGACAGATGTCTTATAACCATGATTATTATAATCCGTCCATATTATTGATAATAATAATACTCATCATTATCATTCAATATTAAAATTAAAACAAGAGTTAAACGCCAACAAAACAAGAGTTAAACGCCAACACAATATGCGCCCAAAACAGCAGCATTTTCTCATAATTAGACCTTATCAAGAAGCAAGGACAATAACCCTTTAAACAATATTTGGAAAATAACTGGACTTACACCATGTTTATGAACTTACTAACCAAGTATATTTCAAAATACATGCAGTCTCTGGACATTAGCAAGTTTTGGAAAAAGGGCAATAACTCTCCATGTTACTTTAGAATCATAGCCAAGACACAACTTATCCTATACCTTATGGCTATGAACTTACATACCAAGTATGAACGAAATCGGTTGAAAACTCTAGGCGTTGGAGTGGCCACAAAAATTCATGAAATTATGGGCAAAGGCAATAATTCTGCAAGTTACGTTCAAAATGCGAACTCACATACCAATTATTAACAAAATCGGTCGAAAACTTTAGGCGTGAGAGTGATCACAAGAAATTGTGGACGGACAGGGGCGACGACAATATACGACCAAAATTAAATTTTGGGCGCGTATAACGATGGACGGACGCCGAGGCGACACCAATATACGACCACAAGTGGGTGTATAAAAAGAAGAATAACATAACTACAAAACTAACATTTAAGGGAATGTTTCACAAAATTATACAGTTTACAATTAATAGAGGCTGTTTTAAGCTATTTTCACATAAATTTAGATTCCTAATATTACAGGCTTTTTAGATCCAATTAGATCGTGTAGGTGTTGTTGGTGCCGTGGACGAGGCAATGACATATAATAGATCCTTGGCACGGCATAAAGGAAATTGTAAAAGGGTTGGGGCTTGAATACTTATATACACAATCTGAAAACTGTTATGAGAAGCTTAAATTATCATCTCTATATACTGGTAGTAAACATATAATTACATGCATCTATCCCTTTAACAATGAATCATAACAAAAACTCATATGATCAGGTTCATAACTATGAAAAAACAAAAATATAAACTTTGCAAAATGAAATACTTAGTTTCATGAACAACAAGTTCTTCGTTCTTGGTTGAATTCTGCAAAAATTGTAGGTCGTCTTATCACAAATATTAATAATATACAAACGGCCACAAAAGAAAATCAACACACGATTTGTTAACACAGCAACCAAATTTTCAAAATATTTTCATCTGTGATTTTAAAAATATTGTTTCGTGTAATTTGATATTTTCATAGCATATAGAGGGTAATTTAAGCCGATGTGAATACTTCAAAAAAAATTCTGCAACATTTCAATTGACCTCCACCTCATTAACAGCACTGTACCATGTTCTACCATATGTCACTTCTGGAACATGAAAATTCGGTAAGGCATGGTCGCAAAAAGTTGTAAAATATACAGAATATATTTTCAAATTTCTTGTATGACCATCCCTTACGGGATTTTCAGTTCCGGGTGTGATGTGTGGCATAACATAAAAAAATGTTAAAGGTGTGCAGGACAAATGCAGTGTCAAAGAAAAATTTTGTTCAAAGAAGCTTTAAAAAAATTATTTTTGACAAATTTTTTTTTTAATGCAATATTTTATTCACATGGAAAAGGATCAGAGAACAGGCTAAAGGCTATGTGAGACTCCTCTCCCTAGCAATTATTTCATTATTGGCAAAAAAATAAGAGTTTTTACATCACAAACTAAGTGACTTTAGAAGGCTGTCCTGTCAAATAATGTCATGAAAATGTTGTTTATTTGTGCTAATGAGATCTGCGTTCTGAATACCACTTTTAATTTTCTTACAAATTCAAACACTATTAACTCACCTCACTTACACAAGCATATTTACAAATAGGAGTAACAGAGGACAACTGCTCTGACTTCTGTCTCTTTATTTTAGGTAAATTATCTTCCTGAAGCTAAATTAAAAATTTTAATAATAATTCAATGAAGGCAAAGTCAATAGGTTATCACATAGTGAGTAAAAACAATGAGTAAACATGACATTGGTTATTCAGAAAACAAGTTAAAACGCTCAACATGTAATGGTAGGCGAATAAGTCGATAACAGATGCAAAACAACGCAACATTTCGGAAAGTTATCCATTCATCAGCAAACAAAAAATATTATTAAACTAGATACAACTAACAGCAGAATCTAAATGTGACAGCCAAAACATTACTGGTACCACCAGTTTCAAGGGAGAACCCTCAAGTCAAATCATTCAGAACAGTAATATAAACAAAACAAATAGTAATACATTAGGTACTGGATAGTAAATGTGTTGAAATGTATTTAAAAGGTCAAATAATAAAATAAACATGAGAAAAACAACCTAGAAACTGGATTTTGCAAGTAATGTAGCTAACAGTTTTAAAGCTATGATTTGTATCATGAATTATGAAAAGAGGACAGGCATAGAAAAGGTCTACAATATAATAAAACGAATTTGTGTTAATTTCATGCGGTTTAAGGGTTCCTAATCGGTCAATGATCTTTATTTCACATTGTTTTCTGTTTGCCGTACTGCCACTATATTATTAGTGCTATGGCTGAGCTTGGCTAAAGTGCATAGCTACAGGTTTTTATACGACCAAATTATGGTCCGAAAATATGGACGGACTAGTGCAAGGACAATATACGAAACAAAATAACATATGGGCACATAAAAATCATATTTCAAGATTATGCTTAATTTCTAACCTTTGATTAGTTTGCAATGCTTACTTACCTCATGAAATTCTTGTATATGTTTTCTCAAATTATTTAAAGGCACTTTTTCACCGCAATCCATGCACTCCTGTGTTATCATATCTGACTGTAAGTAAAAGATAGTTTCAGTTTTTATCCCAGAATATTATACATGGAGAAATCAAGACGGTATTATAGAGCTATATCTGAATCTCACAAATCTGATCAGAATAGGTTTATATTCTTTAAACTGTAAAACCCCAATGTAATAGAATTCTTGAATTATGAAACTCTACAAATTAAATGCTAATAATTTGACATTCACTACTCTATCCTATATTCAACCAAAAGTTTGTGTTTAATATAATGTAATAGACGATGCAGGTAGACTGCACAAAACTAGATATATACAAGACATAACACACACAGTATATAATACAAGACACAATATACACAGTACATAAAAAGGCAAATACTCCCAGAGAAGACAAACAAACTCTACCAGTAGCAATCAAAATCACTTGACGAAAGGGCTGTGGTCCACGGGGTCTCCGTAAGCGCAAACTCAGCAACAAGTCACTAAACGTCAAATACTATTCGCTCCATAGGAGAGTAACATATAATTTTACAAAATATAAAATTATGATAACGAATCAAATATTAGCTGTCCAAAGTTAGAATTAAAGACTTTAAATTTATCCAATTTGTGATTGTTTATTAGTTTTTCAATTTGTCTGTGAAGTCTGCTGTGAAGAGCACCTTTATTTAAACATTTCTTATACAAAGAAACTAATTTATTTATAAAATTTGAAGACGGCTACATATGTTTATAAATCTAAATGTCTGAGAGTAAAAAACATTATATAAGGTATTTTCATTATTACTATTACTTTCAGTTGAGGGATATTTAATTACATCAAAAGGGAAATAATCTGTTTTGTCATATACAGTAGTATTAAAAGTACAGTCATCAATAGTGATATCAATATCAAGGAATGCAGCATGTAGATCTCCAGTGTTTTCTTTATTGAGTACAAGTTCAGGTGGATAGATTTGGTCTCTGTAGCGCTTAAAATTTCCCTTATCATTAATGGCAGTTACATCGTCAATATATCGAAATGTGTTATTAAGATTGCGTGCAGTTAGTTAGTTTTACTCCTATCTTGAAAATCGAATTTGTATTTATGCAGGTTTCCATTTGCCATAAATGGCGCAGGATCAGTGTCCATAGGAAGGCCAATGATCTGTTGAATGATTTTATCACCTACTGCAAAAATGGTATTATCAATCAAATAGTGGATAAGGTAGCTTGCCAGGAATAATTTCGGAAAACGTTGATAGGCTTCTTCCATATGCTGGATGTATAAACAACTACAGTAAGTTTTGTTAACTCTGGTCTCTATTTGGTTTACAACAAATTGTGGGCAGATGGACAGGGGCGATGGCGTGGGCGTATAAAAAAACTCGACTGTACATACCTGCATGCCTTTTGGAGTCCCACTAATAGTAATATCCAGATCTCTCTGTAAGGGTTTGATATATATGATGGCTTGTCCAATGTATGACTGTGCCAGAAAAGCACTTGTGTACCCTGATGGAGGGGGGTCAATAAACTCCATTATGGTTCTTCCTATGGCACGATTTAGATCATACCCTCCTCCATCTATCAATTTTGGATAATGTGAATATATTTCATTTGAAAAATACTTCGCATCATCATTCTTAAAAAGAGTTATTCTTTTTTCTCCCAGTCCAGCATCCTGTGTGACTTTTCTTGCGAACCGATCAGGGACAGTGTTCTAAAAATATATTAAAAATACATACTGGTACATAAATTCAAATAATAGCTAGAAATTTGTTGAAAATCTTAAATAATATAAATCATCTGAAATATAAGCTTACTATAATAAATATTATTCAAATGTTCAAATCTCATGATTTAGTTTCCTGGTCGTACTACCTAAGGTAAAAGGTAGTAACTTGCTCTTATACAATCCAATATCCAAACTTCACATTGAAATAATTTGATTTGACCGCATAATTCTGCGTTGTAGCATCTATGTCGAACCTTTCTAACTTCAGGTTGTAATAATGTCAAAAGGTAGTAACTTAGTGATTTCCTAATGTCATTTTTGACAGTTAATGCTCCTGCCATTGCAACTTAACTACAATGATCACAACCCACTATTACCCTGTATTAAATGTGATGTTTGTGGTAAAATGTTTGGTCAAAATCAACTGTGACATATGTATTACTATATGGCTACAAGCTATCACCTACTACCACATCTACCTAAACTATGTACCACTATCAATTGAATGTCACATCTGTATGTATATAATGTGTATACTGTTTTGTTTATTGTTAGTTTGTCGATGTTCTCATAACATACTATATATTCGATGTACAATGGGCCTATGGCCTTGTAGTATCTGAATAAAGTTATTATTATTATTATTCAATCGTGTCTGCATAGTTTTAATACAACCACCAAAGAACATGTCGTCTCTGTCTATCTTTCATTTGTCTGTAGTCCACAATGTATTGTGAACACATACAGAATTCATCCAATGTTTATTTTCAGAGTTCTTGCCCTTGCTGTATGAAAAATTCCTTGTGGACTGGGCGATGATGAGCCCTATTAAAATTCAGCTTATTCCAATATGTTCATTTATCATATAAATACTTTACCTGTGTGCAACTTGACACACAAAAAAAACGATGAGTCCATGTGTTCTGTCTACCAGTACCAGCAACTCTTTTATTACTTGTCCTCGAAATACTAGAATAGGGACAAAACAAACGGCGCATTTCGCTGACATTTGGTGTTGACGGTCCAGGTAATATAGTAGTAGGAGTCTGTGTAGTTCGAGATTTTTCTTCCAGTTCTCTGGCTGCCTGCCTAAGAAGCTCAGCAGTTTTCTTCAGATCATTATCTGACATTTTTATTCTGAAAAATATAAAAAAGAATTTTAGTTGGACAACAACACAACAGACACCCAAAACAAGAACATTTTCTCAAAATTAGACATTATCAAAAACAGAATAACCCTGTAAGTATTTTTGAAATATAACTGGACTTACACCTTAAGTGCACAGGCAAACTAAAGGCAGTAACTCTTAACGATTTTTATCGAATCACAACCAAATTCAAACATGACCTTCATTGCATGGAAACAAAGATACGTACGGTACTAAGAATCGTTAAGTTCGAATAAACAGTGTTGTCTAGAAAGGGGTATATATTCTTCCGGAATTCGTGGATGTTCATCCAGGAATAAAATAGGCCTGTCAGGGAAAAAATAGTTTTAAGGAAAACAAGCGGTCGCCATGCGATATACGCCCACCAGCAGCTTTGCTCAAGTAAGGTAGTAACTTCAATGATTTTTATCGCATCGCAACCAATTCGCACTTGATCTGCACTGTATAGCGATAAAGACACATAACAAGTTTCATTAAGATCGGACCATGACACATGCCAAGTTTCGTTTCCATCAAATGAAAATTGTAGACTCTTATCGCGTTCACAGTCTAAATTGGCGAAGTTTGTCGAAAAAATGGGCATAACTCTGAACGTAATTTTCGAATTGCACCAAATTCGAACTCATCCGAGATCTTTGGATATGCCAAGTTTCATTTCTATCGGATGAACATTGTAGACTATCGCGTTCACAAAGTCTAAATTGACGAATTTTGTCGAAAAAGGGGCATAACTCTGCAAGTAATTTTTATGTGGGCGCATAAAAACCAGTTTGGTTGAGTATTTCAGCAATATTTTTCTTTACTATTTGCGAAAAAAAAGAGGCCGCAGGGGAACCGGAAAAAAACCCCAACTTAATCCCTAGCTACCGACTCACAAAGTCTAAATTGACGAACTTTGCCCAAAAAGAGGCTTAACTCTGCACGTAATTTGTATGTGGGTGTATAAAAATCAGTTTGCTTGAGTATTTCAGGAATATTTTTCCTTACTATTTGCGAAAAAAAAGAAGGGGCAGGGGAAACAGAAAAAAAAACAACTTAATCCCTAGTACCCTACCTACCGACTCTATTTTTTTTTGGAGAGGAAAAAGGAAACACAGGTATTTTTTTGGCCTAAGTTTGATTAATATGTTTGGATAAAAAAAAATATGGCATCTAGTTTAGATAATAAATGAATGAAATGGAGTTTTTAACATCTCATTTTTATGCACTGATTGGAGTCTCTATACAGAGCACACAAGAAAAGAGCAGACGAGCAGTAACTCTTGCAAATGTTAGGCCTATCAAACCCAACTTCATTTTACGAAGACAAAGATACCCTACAGGCTACATACAAAGTTTCATTAAATCTGGATAAAAACTCTCGCCAGTATAGACTAGACCACAATGCATATAAAAACAAAATCTAAAAAAATATTTTAATTCAAATATTAGTCAAAGTAGATGTGTGGATCTACGGTATTATTAATATTATAGCCTAAAACTACTACTATTTATGTGTCTGTTTCAAAGTCACAGTGTCACCCCAATTCCGCGAATTCGTGCAAATATCTTCAAATATAAATTTTGACAACAAAAACTAATTTCACCTGTATTATTGATATGTCTGTTGATATATGATTTTACAAATTAAAACTGTCTAAATTTACTAATTAAAAAATATTACTCTAGCCTATAAACCAATCTGATTCACAGAGAGAATTACTTACGAATTTGCCTATAAACTAGTTTCATTTGCTGTTTGAAGAACGGAAATAATGGGAGTAGTTCCCCTTGAAAAACTCCACCCAAGAAGAGATATTTTTATTGAGACGGGAGACATCATTGTAGGACCAAACTCGGCGTTTTCCGGATTAATGATCAACGTCATCAACCCAAATATGGTCATAGTTCGCTAACGCATGGCTTGTTAATGCAAGGCTTGATAATGCAAGTGTCGTTAATACAACTGTTGAAACTGCAAATGTTGAAACTACAAATGTTGAAATTACATATCTTGAAAATACAAATGTTGAAATTACATATCTTGAAACTGTAAAGTTAAGCTGTGTTATTTCAAAATTTGTGCTTTGTAGGTTAGACAGGTATTTTCACACATGAAAAAATGTATTTTTGTTGTATGACAAATCAACAAATGCATTTTCAAAAATCGACAAATGTATTTTGCATTTTGACAAATTAACAAATGTACTTTGACAAATCGACAAATGTATTTTGTATTTTGACAAATTAACAAATGTACTTTGACAAATCGACAAATGTATTTTCACAAATTGAGAGTTTTGGCGAGGATCCCCCTCCATAAATATCAACTGCCAGTCGAAGATAAAGACACGTATAAAGTGGTAAGTTGTGTAAACTGCACTGCTAACATAGGTGATTAATTGGAAAACACTGAAAATGGAACTGATCATGATAAAGATGACTGGAGTGAAGGAGGTGGGATATCTAATGCAAAAGATCTCTTCTCACATCGTTAGACTATATTGAAAATAATGAAAAAGAGATTCATAATTTTGACCCGGGGGACGGGAATATCCCGATGAGTATAGGAATTCTGAAGATGACTTCTGCAATTATAGCTATCCCAAGTGTAGCAATAATTATGTAACTACAAATGACATGAATTCTTAAAAGACTAAACCTTTAATTTCGGAACTTGTGACTACTAATGGCAAGCAAGTGCTTATTTGAGGGAAGAGTTGCATATGGAAATGCTCGTTTTGAAAAAAAAACGGAAGAAAGGGCTCTGTATATTATAGTGAAATATGCAAATCTGAAATTAAAAGAAGAGATGACAATATTCTCCTCAAATTTGAAAACCCTACAAATGCAAATTTTCCTTGGAAATGCATCAATAGCTTTTTAGAAAAATAAAAGCTGGAGACTTGGAAACCATATCAAAACTTGTACATTTTGATGAAGGTTACATGCTTTTGAAAACATTAAGAGCCCCTCCCCCCCCCACACACACTATTTTAAAACAAAGCGATTTATTTGCGATATTTGACAACTCATCGTATGCCCCCCCCCCCACACTTAGGGTGTGGTTAGAATATACCCTTCGCATGTCCTGCGTGTCGTAATAGGCGACTACAGGGATCTCGGTAATGGGTAAACGTGTTTGCTGTGCGTTGTGTCCCTTGTCAGACATTGGATTTGTATAACATCGCCGAGATGCAATATGGTACTGACCATACAAAAGGAAACCATTCGAAGTCAGATGGTGTTTGCTCGGTAATTAATGTTGGACATATTGTCAATGGAAATGAATTTATATTAACATAAATTAGACAAACTATTTCAGAGAATACTCACCAAAGCGTGCCAAATATAATTAGTAAAGTTCGTCCATGAGTACTGCTTCTTCGGTTAGTAAATGAGACTGTTATAAAGCTCTTAAAAATGTCTAGGACAGATATATAAATTTTGGAACTAAAAATGGGGTATATTAATTATTGGGGCTCAATAAATTCTGATGGAAAAAAACGAAAGTTGCAACCCATCGATGAAATGTTTTTAACTCGAGTAAAAATAGGGCTCCGCTAATTTACACCCGTCCGAGAGATTCAGAATCAGTGACAGTCATGTGTCTCGAATTTTCACTACTTGGGTAAAGTGTATGCTTCATATACTATGAGACATCAACGCTAGGATGCCAAGGAGGAAAGTTAAAAAAAAAATCATGCCAGAGTGTTTTGAAGAGTTATATAAAGAGTGCGTGTGACCGTTGATTGTACCGAAATAACTCTGCAGAGGCCATCCGATTTTGAGTCAGTTACATACTCCACATTAGGGTCCTCCAGCATTGGTGGGAGCCACGGTGGCTAGGTGGGTAAGACGCTGGTTCGCTAGCCTGGAGGTCGGGTGTTCGATCCCTGCATTGGCCGAGGAAGCTATTCCTGATTTTCCGACATGGTTTCCCCTTGTCAGTGATAAAAGACGGAGGGCCCGACAAGACAGCTGTCTAGTCGTTAAGATGGGACGAAAAACCGAGGTCCCGTGTGCACGTAAAGGATCCCTTTGCAGCTGGAATTCGATATAAGCGTTTTCAGAGTTTACTTTGTATTATTGCATACCATATGCAACAACTATAATCCAAGTTGGAAAGTACCACATTTCAATTAATTTTATCATCGATACTGGCACTAGTATTTACATCATGGGTAAAAACAGTTATGAAATAGTCCTATAGCCCTCCAACCAACAAGTATGAAGATTTTTCCATACGTATCAAAGAAAACAGTTGGTTTACTTGGGAAGTTTGAAACTTTGGCCTGCTATTTTAGAATCTCATATTTTGAACGCATTTCCTGATGAAATACAATAAATTACGTGCGTAAAATGTATGTGTCCTGGTATCCAGGATTTTTTAAATAATAAATAATTTATTTACAACTTTAAGGCATTTGCCTATAGTACAATCACAAATATTTGATAATGATACAATATAAATACAATCATAAAGTCTTGGCTTTTGACTAGTTAATATACAATATAATAATCAAGAAAATATAATAGTGTACAATTATATCACTGTCAATATACAATTTAATAAAAATATTTTAAATACTATTCAAAAAAAGTAGGGGATATTTGATTTTTAAGTGTTATTAAAGTCACCTAATGAATCTGACGAAGAAACAAATGACAAAATGAAATGAAGTTCACATTCATCGATTTATTCCAAATGATCGTTAGACTAAGTAAGGCACAGACTGACCATTATAAGGGTAAAATGATACCCGGGGTCAAACAGCAAAGTTACCACAGCATCACAACCAAGTCAGTAACGGGTAAATCCTCCTCTGTTTGCCAAACAAGCATTGATCCGACGTGGCATACTCCTAATGAGACGTCTAAGGTCATTTTGGTCCAGATTGTCCCATTCCTGTTGCAACGCAGCAGCAAGTTCTTGGACATTGGCAGGACGTTGTTGACGTTGACGTTACCTCTGTCCAAGCATGTCCCAGACATGCTCGATGGGGGAGAGGTCGGGACTCAGTGCTGGCCAAGGTAATGTGGTGATGTTCTGTTGTTGGAGGTAACCTGTAACGATCCTGGCCCTGTGACATCTTGCGTTGTCATCCTGGAAGATGAAACGGCGGCCATGACGTCGTGCGAACGGCACAACATGGACTGCCAAGATGTTGTCCCGGTAGTACTGGCCTGTAACACGCCCTGCAACAACATGTAAAGCCGTTCTTCCAGCAACAGTGATGCCTTCCCACACCATAACAGAACCACCCCCAAATCGATCATGTCTGATGACGTTAACGTCTTGGAAATGAAATGAAATGTTGTTTAATGGCACGTCAGCTCCAACCGGGCTATATTGCGCCAAACATATGGTGAATCTAACGAGACAAATTAAAACAATATCACATAATTGAATTTATATATGTAAATAAAAACAAATATCACAGAAAATATATAATTAAAATAAATATAACAAATCTTTTACATATATAAATATTTAAAACAATATACATGATTTAATATATACAATTAAAATTGAGAATAAAGGTTTGTCTCTTTTAAAAATGTTAGCACTTTATCATATAGCTCCGGTTGAGCAAATAGCTGACGTAATGACTGGCAACGGTAGTATTTAGATCTAATATACTTGAGATGTTTGCACTCAATCAAGATGTGACTCACTGTCAAAGGAACATGACAGTGAACACATTCCGGTTGAGGCTCTCGCTTCAAAATGAAAATATGAGTTAAAAAAGTATGACCAATTCGAGAGCGACACAAAATAACTTCATCTCTCCTGTTAGACCTGTAGGAGCTTGGCCATTCTCCAAGGAGAGGCTTTATGTGATGAAGTTTGTTTGTGCCTGCAAGATCCCAAGACCGTTGCCAGCGGTCATAAATAAAATTATTTATACAGGATTTAAAATCCGTGTATGGCGTTAAAAATTCGGATAAGGGAAGATCTAAGGCAGACTTGGCAGCCAAATCTGCTCGATCATTCCCTTTTATATCCATGTGACTGGGGAGCCAGCAAAGGACAATGTCCTTGCTGATGAACTCGTTTGATAGTAATAGACCATAAATGTCTGCTACTAATGGGTGTTCAAGCTGTTTATTATTTATTGCTTGCAGTGAGGACAAAGAATCAGTAAAAATTATATATTTTAAATCAGATGTTGATTGAATGAACTCCAAAGCCTGAAGAATGGCCTGGAGTTCAGCTGTAAAGATGGAAGCAGCAGGTGGAAGGCGGACAGAAATGGTCTCAGATGGTGTCACGGTAGCTGAAGCTACCCGATCACCATCTTTCGAACCATCTGTATAAATTGGAGCATAATCACCATATTTAGACCTCAGCTCTCGAAAGAGAGACTGAAACACCGTAGAGCTAGTATCTCTCTTTTTATGTTGTGTAAGATGGAAATCAATCTTTGGGGGAGATATAGCCCACGGTGGAGTCCTAAAGAAAGGGGTATTCGCAATACTGTCCAGGCTGATACCAGCCTCAGACAAAAGGGGTTGTATGCGAATACCGAAAGGTGGAATAACTTTAGTCTTAAGCAGATATAGATGCTCATGATATGGTCTAAATATGGTGTTAAATGAAATATGATTTGTTAAAGATGCTATTTTCGTAGCTAACGTCTTGGAAGCGCTCGTTTCGACGATCCCACACCCTCCTACGTCTGTCCAAAAAATCAACAGTGAACCTTGACTCATCTGAAAACATCACATTGCTCCAGCGTCGATTATCCCAGTGTTGACGATCCCTACACCAACGACGTCTTGCCTGAATGTGATGATCTCTCCAACAAGGGATCACGCGAGGACGTCGGGCGCGAAGGTGACCCCTATGCAGTCGATTCCGAATCGTCTGGCCACTCACTCTCACACCAGTGTCTGTTTGAAGACGAGCGCTGATCTGATTTGCTGTGATGACACGATTTCTCAAGGCCAAGGTACGGATAAATCGATCCTGGGCTTGAGTTGTCGCCCTTGGTCGACCTGAGCGTGGTCTGTCCTGTACAGATTGTGTATCACGGTATCTGGACCATAGCCTGCTTATGACAGACTGAGAAACATTCATCGTCCGCGCCACAACCGCCTGTGTTGTGCCGATCTGTAGCAT